CACAGGCTGCATGGTTGTGAAGAAGCTATTACATGAACCACATTCGTATTTTGTAGTCTATTCTCCTATACACTTTCATAGCTCAGGGTACTCAGTTTGAGGGAGAGTGGTTCCAAGAGATATTTGTTGTCCTCTGATATGGATGCGGCCATACTTGAATACGAAACTATGGCTCCACAGGTATAATGTAAAAAAAATCCAATTCAATAAATGATATAACTTATATTAATTAAAAAAAATTAATTTCAGTGAAAAATTATTCAGATAGTGTTTGTTATTTTTTGTTTAACAAAAATCTTGGCAATTCGAAACTATTTCTTTATTAGCTCTGCATGACACTTTTTAAAAGGCGAAAAATTTGAAACGCGCGAGACGTTGGAAAGTGAATCGGTAGAGTGGGAGGATTATTAGCGTAGTCATTCTTTGTCAACCTTTGAAGAAAATAACAGAATACGAAGAAGGAATATCCAGAGGATCAATTTACTTCATAACTGCAGATATTAGTGGTGAGTTACAAAACAAGAGGCCCATGGGCCTTATAGGTCACCTGAGCATTATGCAACAACTTTCCAGTGATTAAATTTAATTCATCATAACAATACACTTAGCAGTTGCTTAGTTTGTTTACTTAATACCCATAAACAAGGTAGGGGAACAAAAAATGCATTTCAACTAATCAGTTATATTCAGCAATAATCAGTAGTGCCCCTACCACACATGAACCCCTGACCCTTAGGCCTTGATATTTGATTAATACCAAGGAGCAGATTTCAAACCATTCATTCATTTTCAGTATACAAGTACACCCCCCCAATATTACCCCTGACCCTGGGGCCTTGAAATTCACAATTCTGGAAGATTAGGGCCCTTGTAGATAATAACTATATAGGTAGTTCATCTGCTTAATACCCTAGAGCAGAGAAGAAAATTTTTAAAGATTTAATGAATTTTCACTATATAATCTATAGAGCCCCGCCCTAACACCAAAACCCCTGACCCTGGGGCCATAAAATTCATAATTTTGGTAGAGGCACTTTTGCTCATCATAGCTATGCACTTAGTTAGTTTATTTAATACCCAGGAGCAGAGAAGAAGATTTTCAAAGAATTCATGTATTTTAACTACATAATCTATAGAGCCCCGCCCTAGCACTAGAACCCCTGACCCTGGGGCCATAAAATTCACAATTTTGGTAGAGGCACTCTTGCTCATCATAACTATGCACTTAGTTAGTTTATTTAATACCCAGGAGCAGAGAAGAAGATTTTCAAAGAATTCATGTATTTTCACTATATAATCAATAGAGCCCCCCCCCCCCCCTAATACTAGAACCCCTAATCCTGGGGCCATAAAATTCACAATTTTGGTAGAGGCACTCTTGCTCACCATAACTAGGCACTTAGTTAGTTTATTTAATACCCAGGAGCAGAGAAGAAGATTTTCAAAGAATTCATGTATTTTCACTATATAATCAATAGAGCCCCACCCTAACACCAGAACCCCTGACCCTGGGGCCATAAAATTCACAATTTTGGTAGAGGCACTCTTGCTCATCATAACTATTACTTAGTTAGTTTATTTAATACCCAGGAGCAGAGAAGAAGATTTTCAAAGAAATAATTCATTTTCACTACCTACTTATTTAGCCCCGCTCTAGCACTAGAACCCCTGACCCCAGGGCCATGAATTTCACAATTTTGGTAGAGGACTCATTGCTGATTACAATCATGCAAACAGTTTGACTGCTTGATGCCCAGGAGTAAAGAAGAAGATTTTTAAAGATTGCATTAATTTTAGTGGTTTTGGCCCCACCCCTCAGGCCCCTGGGGGCAGGGATCATGAAATTCACAATTTTTGTTCCCCTTCACCCATAGATGCTTTGTGCCAAATTTGGTTGAAATTGGTTCAGTGGTTGCAGAGAAGAAGCTGAAAATGTTCAAATGTTAACGCACAACGCACGACGCACAACGCACGACGACGGACGAAAACGGATAGCAATAGGTCACCTGAGTTTACTCAGGTGACCTAAAAATGGAGGCAATCGCTGAATCTGTGAGATATTTGTCAAGATGTTACTGTCTATTTGTAAGAGTTCAGTTATGTCCTTTTTAATGAAAATTTTGTCAAACTTTGTTATGAGTAAGAAATTACGTTACATTTAATAATTAAAGATTGAAACATTCATCCTGTTCACCTATAACATCTTGAACATGGCAGGCAAGGGAAACAGGCTAAACTCCCGCTCGGAATGCTTTAAAATATGGCAGTGCCTATGATGCAGAATTAAATGAAACAAATATGCAAGTCTTAAGTTTTCACATTTATGAGCACTTTCAGAAAATCTTTGTTCTTGTAGGGAAAAGAGAAGCAGTTCACAGATAATGTTGATGAGTTGAGATCAGAAGATTAAAAAACTCTGGCTGCCAAAAAAAAGAATATAAAAAATCCAGGCTCTTGAAGAAAAACAAAAGAAAGGAATGAAAATATGAATCGTAATCGATCAAAGGATCCAAGTGATGAAATTCTGAAAATTCCACAGGGAAAGCCAATAAGATTTTTTTATTTGACCACCTCTGCTCAAAATCCTTGAAAGCCCTTTTAGCTGATGCCCTAATTGCTGAACACACTTTTCTGCCAGACAGTGAGACTTGGATTAAAAATCATTCCATTTTAGGCATACACTTTGAAATACACTGAATAAGGAACCCACTCTCCTCTTGACCAAGTAAGGTTAAGGATTCTGCAAAGAGTCGCGTTTGAATTGAAACTTTTTATAATTTATTAGGAATGAACTACATAATTTATATATTTATTATTGTTATCACTTATCAGAGTTGTTTACTTGAACAAAGATTTTGTTACCATGATTGGAAAACAAAAATTCTGTGAAATCTTTCAAGATGCTATTAAAATATTTTCTTTTACAGTTTTTCATTTTGCATAACTTATTACATTTTTGTTTACTAAAAGCAAGAACATTCATGAATAGTTCATGAACATTCCTAAATAACTTTTACAAATTATTCATGAATAGTTCATGAAAATGCATTGAACCTATTAATATCATTCATGAACTTTTCTTGAAAGTTCATGAATATAATTCATGAACTTTTCTTGAAAGTTCAAGAATTATTCTTGATCATTTTGCAGGCATTTAAAAAATCCAAGTTTGTTCATGAACAACAAATAATTCTTGAATATTCTTGAACTTGGTTTTCATGAATAAAATCCATGAAATCATGAGTGTCAAATTTTAACTTCATGGGATCTTCATGAACAATTCATGAGCTGATTCAAGAATACAATTCATGAACTTTTCTTAAAAGTTCAAGAATTATTCTTGATCATTTCGCAGGGGTTTCTTTGAAACTTAATTAGCTTTGAACAGAGCTAAACGCAAAGTGTGACGGAAGGACAGAAGGATGGAAGGACGGAAGACAGACATGAAAAACACTATATGCCCCGTTCACATTCATGGCGGGGCATAAAAACACTAGGAGAAATAATGTATGAAAAATTAAAAAAGGAATACCCATGGGTACAAATTGCGCCTCGTCTCGTTATTAGCAGACCTATTTTATTCATATCAAGCAAAATCTGTGCAAACTCTTATGCATGAAATGAAGAAAACACTTGTTGTGGCCTTCAACTCGACATTTAGATATGTTGACCAGGTTTTTTCAATATACAATGGTTATTTTCATTCTTATTTCGATTTGATATATCCTAGTAAGCTTGAAAAAAAGGATACCACAGAGTCGGGCACATCTGTTTCATATTTGGATATTTTACTTGAAAAACACCTTAATGGTAATCTAACAGCCAAGCTCTATGATAAACGTTATGACTTAACTTTTCTATCGTCATCTACCCATACTTACACCGCTATATTTTATCTTCATCACCCGCATATGGAGTATATATATCTAAGTTGATTCGATACGCAATGTCGAAAGAGCCACCCTTACTCATCAAAACTATGTACATAGTTCATTGGTTTAATACCCAGGAGCAGAGAACAAGATTTTCAAAGAATTAATGAATTTTCACTATACAATCAAAAGAGCACCGCCCTAACACCACAGCCCCTGACCCTTGGGCCATAAAATCCAAAATTTTGCAAGATGCACTCTTGTTTATCATAATTATACTTAGTTCATTTGTTTAATACTGAGCAGCAAAGGAGAAGATTTTCTCCGAGTTAATGTATTTTTACTATATAATCAATAGAGCCCCGCTCTAATGCCAGAACCCCTGATCCAGTGGGGCCATGAAATTCACAATTTTCGAAGAAGCACTCTTGGTCATCATAACTATATTATTGGGTAGTTTGTTTAATACCCAGGAGGAGAGGAGAAGATTGTCAAAGAAATAATGCACTGTTACGATATGATCTATATAGCCCTACCCTAACACCAGAACCCCTGACCCAGGGGCCATGAATTTCAAAATATTGGTAGAGGACTCTAAGCTGATTACATTCATGTCAACAGTTTGACTACTTGATGTTCAGGAATAAAAAAGAAGATTTTTAATTATTGCATTAATTTTGGTGATTTTTGCACCACCCCTCAGGCCCCAGGGGGGCAGGGAGCATGAAATTCAATTTTTTTGTTCCCCTTCACCCATGGAGGCTGCGTACCAAATTTGGTTGAAATTGGTTCAGTGGTTCCAGAGAAAAAGTTAAAATTGTTCAAAAGTTTACGACCAACGTAGGATGACGGACGAAAACAGATAGCAATAGGTCACCTAAGTTCAATCAAGTGACCTAAAAATGGAAATCAATAAATGAAGAGTTAGCAATTTGTTTGAAAAATCAATATATTCTTTATAAAGAAGTTTTCAATCAGTCACACAATAACATACATATAATGACATTATGTAAATTATTGATGTTGTATAAATTATATTCATTATGCCATATCGCTTACTGTTAATTTATGGACTTCTTAAATAGTAAACTAAAACAAATCAATAGTTTAATAGAATTGAAAACTTACCATCTTGTCCAATTTTGTCTGACTTTTGCTTTTTCCCTAATAAGAAAAGGTACCCTCTGCTATAAATTCGCTAAGAAAATTTAAAATTTCTAATATTGATTTTCATGAACAACAAAAACATAAGACACATGGAAAATATATGTAGTTCGAATGATGTCTTATTTCAATATCACTTGGCACACCTGTAGACTACACTGAAATACATTAAGCAGATGCTCTAACAATTGCGCCACGCAGGCGACAAGTTGATTTGGAATCAGACTTTAACTGTAGGAGGCGTACCATTTTGAAATTATTCAACAGATATTTCAGGTTTAGTTACCACAACAGAAAGAAGATGGGCGCATTTGGCGAGTGATCTGCAGGAATTATTTGTACGAAAATTTATGGTTTAAATGTCCATGATTTGGTTGGCTGAACATAGCTGGTCAGATTTTACAAACACGTCCAGAGGTTTTTTTTCATTTAGTTTGAAAGACATTGTAAAATTGTAACATTTATGTCCATTTTTCCTAGGGGGTACTATAATATAGTAATGTTTCACAAAAAATAAACACCTAAAATATTTAATGTATTGATGCATGCTACGTGTACATGTACATTATAGAATAGAATATTAAAATTGATTTCACTCGAGATCCAAACTGAAACAAAAGAGGGTGTTGCAGTTCTTTTGTTATTTTCCCTAAATGTGTAGCAGATTAAAAGAATTTTTACGTCGCAGAAACTCATATTAATTTTTTTCAAATGCAACAATATATAAAGCACAACGAGAAACAATATTTGGAAGGTGTGTATTGACTTCCAATTTGCCAATAAATGATGTGAAAATTTTGGCTAACGGCAAAATATATCAGATTTTCCGTTTTTGACTCACACAAATTGTTCCCACGAAAATAGTTCCACCATTAATAAGTAGATACAACATAATTGTTCATGATAAGAATAATGTTGTGTATGTCATACGTAAAAGAAACCAAAATTAATGTAAATTTTTCCTCCAAAGATCACTTTCCCCCCTAAATACAAATAAAAAATGTTAATATTCCTATGCTCGCTCCCTCCTAAGCTTTTTTTTTAAACATGTTTGATAACAGAGAATATCTAGGTCATTCTTCGGTTGATATTTTTTCACCTATGAATTGATTATACTACATGTATATCAACAACTGTAGTAGAATCATGTTAATTGTTTGTTAATCATCATATAGTTTCGTCTTAGAGAAAAAAATAATCGTTCTGTGTGTTTAGTATATTAAATGACGGAATTTTCACTCCCTGAGCAGATTCCTGCACGTGTGTAGACAAACTACATATGGGAGAGTACTAGCTATAAAATGTGTAACAAAACCCGAACTGGGCCGGGGATTTCTAAACTGACAAGCGTTTAATTTTTATTAATAAGAATTTGTATTCATGTGATCTTATTTTGAAAAAAATTCTGTCTGCCATCGTAACTTCTCTGTTCGCGGGAGTCTGTTTGACAACTCCATCGCACGTGTGTAGACCAAGGCTAACTGGTCTTGCGGACACAGGTATGTGTACTGTTTGTTAGGTGACTGGGTGGCCGTAATGCTGCGGACTCACGAAATTTACACAAGTTTTTTATAACTAGACATGCAGTGCAGTTTATTTTTTATAAAAATCATTAAACACTCTTAAACATATTAAATCTAAAAGTCGAATATCTTTGGATATGGGGTAACCCATATCTAATCTTGTTTCCATATGTAATGGCAGTGCAATGAAATTATATATATTTTGAAAGAGAGGTGGTAGAGGGATGTCAAGAAGTTAATTGAGTAAATAACAAATCTATAGATTAAAAATGCAGGATTAAATTGTTTTCCTTGATATACTCTGACTTAAAACTAATGCTTTATTTGTTTTTTCTTGGAAAATAAAGTTACTGTATTGTTTAAATAATATATTTTAAATTTTTTTTTACATACTGTAGTTATTGCAATTTTGGTCTCTTAGCTAATAGCTAAGATTTGATTTGAAACAATTAAAATGTCTTGGACATAAAACCAACAGTGTGATTATGGGACGCAGTTTTATTTCATAAAAAATATTTTCGCACAATGTCTACAGTATATATTACAAAATGCTGCTTTAGCCATTGTGCTTTTTGTTGTTCCAACCTCTTTCGTGCAAAATGACGAAAGTGTTTTGCTGTATCAAGCAGGAAATACACGCCGTAAACATAGTCTTCTACGTAGCTGTATCCATATTTAGACATAACGAGGGTATTTAAATGTCCTTCTCGATATATAGGGAATAATCGCGAGTTTCTGCAAAACTCTCTTTATCTGATTCAAAATTTTAATACATCAGTACATAAAACGGAACTGACAAAATAAATGGTTGTTTGCATGGAAAAAAAAATTAACGCCCCATGCCAGGATCGAACCAAAAACGTTTCACTTTGAGTACACTGAACAGGTAGCCCAACTTACTGCGCTATTACCACTTCACATATATAATTGATTTAAAAAGGACAGAGAAGCACCACATTCACACATTTGGATTTTTGGGGGAAAAGTTCATTTTTCATGGTCTCTGGGTCTTCTCTCCATTTTTTGAAAAAAGTGTATTCGTTTCTTTGAATTAAAATACACACAAATAACGTTTCAAAATCATGGAGAGAAGACCCATAAAAGAAAATATTTAGAAAAAACGTGTTTAAAAATGTACAATTTTGTACCAAATGTCTGATCTGACCAATTTTCAAGTTATTTTTTTTTTAGCAAATCAAAGCTCAATTTCGAGAAAATATTTTCCTTTCCTGTTGCACAAGAACCCGATAAATAAAAAAAGATTAAGATTCCTGCCGAATGCCAATCAAAAGCGCCCTCGTTCTTTCCATTTTTAGTTACAATGACAACACCTAAAATCAAAAATTGGTGCACTTAAATATGTGTAATTTACAGGTGTGCCAAATTTAACATGGCTGAATCTACTTGATCTGCGCATACGATTTAACGCAGCGTCAACTCAAGCACGTCACAGTACCCTTGGCTGCCGTCACAATTGAAAACAATAACGTCACAATTAAAATGACGTCAAATTGCGCTAGAATGTTTCGCTGATCTTGCATACCTCGAAGCTCCATAGACTGTGCATATTGAAAGCTGCATGGCTCATTCTGGCATTTCTATTATTTACATCAGGGTTTTTAAAAATTAATAATCACTTGTAGAAAATAATTTATTTTGAAATATCAATTTCTAGGTACAGGATCATTAATTTTATCTTGTTTTAGTTCAATTTGTGTGTTAGAAAAAAACAAAGAAACACACAACCAAATTTAAAAGTACAATGTATACGATTTTAGTCTTTCTCCTTGAGCATGTTGAATAGCTTATACACATCCCTTTTTACTGCGGACTTAATTATGCATGGATTAACTTGTGTTTGAAAAAGTCTCTGAATCATTTGAATGCAACCACCAAAATATTCTTTTTTTCTGTATAATACACAATGCTAGTAAATTTCGTATTTTTGTCGCCTTTTTACTCCCCCCCCCTTTCACCGTTTTTTCCACGTAAAACAACGTTGTGTGTTAAAAATTAAAGCATGGAGAAAAAAAATATTTCGTAATGTAAGATTTATTCAATTTTTAGAAACTAATGTCACAGGGTGACTATTACTTGGTTTTTATTTTATTTAAAATATTCAGTTCATTTAAGATTAGTACAGCTAGCCATGCACTTATCATAGTAAATAAGATAGCTGTAGTAAATTCATTCATTCATTCATATCTGGGCATTCATTGTCGTCGTGTTCGTATTGTATTCTGGTTTGTACGGTGTTCACTGTCACGTGAGTATTTGGTTGTCACGTGATTGTTTTGTGGTCTACTATTATCACACCCTATTACCGGCAACTGTGGCAACCGATGCAACTGTGACAACAGACAGCAAAGTTCTTTATCGCTATGACAGAGACATAATTGATATCATAATTTTGACTATTCATAACACTCATTTACTTTCGTTTGGTGGTTTCCCCTTTTGATATAACCTTAAACTATTTTTCTGTTGAATATTAAACAATGATTTCTTATTGAAACAAAATAAACACAGAATAAAGTTAAATTTCAATCGTTATTCAAGAAAAATTGGTCAAACTCAGCTTATAAAACAAGAGGCCCATGGGCCACATCGCTCACCTGAGAAGCTTTGACAATTCTGTTCTTTACAGGATTTCCCCCTTGTTATACATAATGCATCCCCACCCTACCCCACTGATCATAATTTAGACATTTTGAAATCTATACTACCCCATGATCCTTCCATGGGCACATATGTTTCAGCTTTTTTTGCCCAGTGGTTCCTGAGAAGAAGATTTTCAAAGATTTTTCCTATATATTTCTATGTAAAACTTTGATTCCCTATAATGGCCCCGCCCTTCCCCTGGGGGTCATGATTCCTAAAATTAAGAATTTACACTACCCCTGAATGCTTCCACATAAGCTTCACTTTTTCTGGCCCAGTGGTTCTTGAGAAGATTTTCAAAGATTTTTTCTATATTTTTCTATATAAAACTTTGATTCCCCATTGTGGCCCCGCCCTTCCCCCGGGGGTCATTATTTGAACAATTTAGAATCTACATTATACCAGGATGCTTCCACATAAGTTTCAGCTTTTCTGGCCTAGCGGTTCTTGAGAAAAAGATTTTCAAAGATTTTTCCAATATATTTCTATGTAAAACTTTGATACCCCATTGTGGCCTGCCCTTCCCCCGGGGGTCATGATTTGAACAATTTAGAATCTACACTACCCCAGGATGCTTCCACATAAGTTTTAGCTTTTCTTTCCCAGTGGTTCTTGAGAAGAAGATTTTCAAAGACTTTTCCTATACAGTAAAACTCGTTTAGTACGAACACAGATATAGCGAATTCACGGATATAGCGAAGTTTTTCTGGGTCCCCGTCAATACTTTAACAAAACTTTGAAAAATTTTACGGTTATAACAAACTCTGATATAACGAATTTACGGATATAGCAAACTGATTTTGAGTCCCGTTGGGTTA